GTGCACTTGGGTGTGCCTTGGGGGTTTTTGGGTGCATTCCTGTAAAAATGTTAACTCCTGGTGTGGATATATATTGTCTAACACAGGAAAATGCTCATTAAGCCCCACTTTGAGTCTGCACAGATATTCCAGTGAAGAAAGAAACTATTTACCTTCATTGATACTAACCAAGTGTGTCCACATTGGTGTGCAGTTTCAGGAATTGCTGTAGAATAATTTTAAAAATTATTTGAGAGATGAATACAAGCTATGTGAAGGAAGGTGCTGCTTGATTTGTGATGGTTCTCCTACAGCTATTGCTGCTCCATCCAACTCACAAGTGGATATTTAACTAGTGATCTAGACCACACAGAGCAGGTTCATTCATCTCCTCCTATGACAGAATTATAAAATGTTACAGGAGGCTGAAGTGTTGTCACAGTCACTATTTCACATCATTAGAGGAGGTCACCAAGCACCTTTGGCCTTGCATTATTGATGGTTTCATGAATAGGCCATTTCCCCTTTGAGAACATCTGTTTAAATGTATTCTCTACCCCTTATAAGGTAGATCAGAGCTCTGAAATATCTGTCACCCTTTTGCTCAACTCAAACTGCTGGTTCAGCATCTAGTCAGCTCACATAGGTAATTTTCTTTACAACCCAATTGGCACAAACTCTGTGACAATTTAATATAAGTGTTTATCATGTTTCTGTATCTTCAGACCTGAAATGAAAGTTATTTTAGCTCCAAATTATTTGTAGGAAAGCCTTTCTTTGCCTAAGTTCCATTTTGGCAGGGGAAGAAATCCTCCTTTTTAATTTCGTGTCATTAAGCTGAATACAGCTATTTTAAAAGCTATGGGGGGGTTCTTTTTGACTGACATTCTCCTTTATTGCAAAGCTGGAAAACAACTCTTGGCAAAGAATCATCTAGTAAAATGGTGGAACTATCTCCTGCTGAGATGTTTCTTTCATAAAAATAACTAAACCAGATAATTTATTATTGCACAAAGTCTGAAAAATAATCCTTCCTAGAGCCACCAGTTTTACCTTTTAAATTTGTGATGGAACAAATGGTTCTTCTTTAATGTAAAAACACCCAGACCCAAATCATTGTCAGTGGACAAAATTCTGGAGTTTTTCTTTGCCTTTGTGTTTGGCTAAAGGTACTGGACCAACTGCAGATGACCTCTGGATGGATCAACTGCTCCTGTCTGGAGATAAGTTCCTGTAGGAGAACATTCCCATTGCAAATGCCTGCTGCCAACAGTGATAGCATTGGGCATTCTGGAGAGGTGGTGGACAGGACAGTGCTTCTGGAAGAGCCTGTGCTCCTGCAAGGTGTCAAGGACAGTGCTTCTGGAAGAGGCTGTGCTCCTGCAAGGTGTCAAGGACAGTGCTTCTGGAAGAGCCTGTGCTCCTGCAAGGTGTCACTCACTTCAGAGCACTCACAAAGTGTCACCACTGCTGATGTCTCAGTACAGATGTAAGAAATGCAATTCCTTGATTCTACAATCACCTTAACATGAAGCTACAGACCCAAGCTTTGCTGAAACCAGGTGTAAACAAAAATAAAACCCACTGAACTCTGAGGTTCTGAAGGGATACCAGCTGGTGTTCAGCCCTGCCTCTGCACTCCACAGTGTTCTGTGTTCCCCTTCCTGGAACAGCCCAGACCAGCTGGGGAAAATCAATGCAGGTGCAAGGTTTGTGACTTTTGCAGCTGAGTGGGTTTTTTAGTGTTCGGGCTCTCTTCAGCCTTTTATCAGGCTGGTTCAGATGAAGAGAATATGGAAATGATTGAATGGTGGATATTTGCCATGTTCATTAAAAATTAGAAGGGAAAAAGAGACTCAGCAACTTCAGCCAACACAATTTTATGTAATTGTCTTTGATTTTAACAAATAAATAAATAAATAGCCTGGCTCTCATTGGGATTTGCCTAAGGGACTATCATGAATGAGTTACACAACTCAGCACTCATTCATTCATTCATCAACTGATTCTTTGCAAAACCATATGGCTCCTTGCAGGGATTTCTTTAAACATTATGCAAAAGTATGAAATCAGTGCCTTTGTAGATGCTAAGTCTGTTGCTTGAGGCTCATTTTGAAATTCCGTTTCCAGATAGCACAGCAATGCTCCTTTTGCAAGTCATACCCTAAAAGAAAGCAGTTGTTCTGGCACTTTCAATCAAATGAAGAAAAGAAATAGATATAAACAGTGAAAGAGTAAACTGATCTAAACTTTACAGATGAGCTGTGCTGCTCTGCTTGACTTTCACATGGAAATGCACTGTGCTTGATGGAAGGCAATGGGAAAAGGACATTATTAAAAAGCAAGATGTCATTGTTTTCATGCATTGAGTCAGAAATAGCAGAGCCACTGCAAAATGTATGTATTCATTTACTGCAGTAAATCTGGTTGAAGACGTGCGTCCATTCCTAGTGAAGATTGTTCAATGCCATCTTTCCTGATCACAGGAGCCAGCAGACACAGCTGCAACACCGATCACCATAAATCACTCCCAACATGTACCTCAACTCTGGATTAATGGGAATTCCTGTCAATTCGCTGACACCCTCAAACAGGAACAGAGTTTAGATGTTTTCCTTCAGGCCGTTCAAAGCAGGGACCTGCAAGGTCTCGTTCATCCCCAGGGGTTAAGCAGCACTTGCAGAATGCTTGCTCTGCAGCGCACCCAGACCTGCAGGTTCCGCCGGCAGCGAACCCTCACGATGCCCCACAACAGAGCCGGACCTGTGGGGTGGCACACAAGGACACTTTTGTGACACTTTTGTGGCACTTTCGTGACGGTGCAGCAGCGCCCAGCGTGGGGCCCCTCACGACAAGAAGGACCCCGAGGTGCCGGAGCCCGTCCGGGTTTGGGGAAGGGTCTGGGGCACAGGAGCCGTGAGGAGCGGCTGAGGGCGCTGGGGACTCAGGGGAGGCTCGGGGGGAACCCTCTGGATCTCTGCAATTCCCTGTCAGGAGCTGGTGGCCACGAGGGGATGGAGCTCTGCTGCCAGGCACAAAACCACTTTTGTGACTCTTTTGTGACACTTTTGTGGCACTTTTGTGACACTTTTGTGGCACTTTCGTGGCACTTTCGTGGCGGTGCAGCAGCGCCCAGCGTGGGGCCCCTCACGACAAGAAGGACCCCGAGGTGCCGGAGCCCGTCCGGGTTTGGGGAAGGGTCTGGGGCACAGGAGCCGTGAGGAGCGGCTGAGGGCCCCGGGGGCTCAGGGGAGGCTCGGGGGGATCCTCTGGATCTCTGCAATTCCCTGTCAGGAGCTGGTGGCCATGAGGGGATGGAGCTCTGCTGCCAGGCACAAAACCACTTTTGTGACTCTTTTGTGACACTTTTGTGGCACTTGCTGTAGGGAACAACGAGAGCTGCACTTGACTTTCGTGGCGGTGCAGCAGCGCCCAGCGTGGGGCCCCTCACGACAAGAAGGACTCCGAGGTGCCGGAGCCCGAACGGGGCTGGGGCACAGGAGCCGTGAGGAGCGGCTGAGGGCCCCGGGGGCTCAGGGGAGGCTCGGGGGGATCCTCTGGATCTCTGCAATTCCCTGTCAGGAGCTGGTGGCCATGAGGGGATGGAGCTCTGCTGCCAGGCACAAAACCACTTTTGTGACACTTTTGTGGCACTTTCGTGGCACTTTCGTGGCGGTGCAGCAGCGCCCAGCGTGGGGCCCCTCATGACAAGAAGGACCCCGAAGTGCTGGAGCCCGTCCAGGGCTGGGGCACAGGAGCCGTGAGGAGCGGCTGAGGGCCCCGGGGGCTCAGGGGAGGCTCGGGGGGATCCTCTGGATCTCTGCAATTCCCTGTCAGGAGCTGGTGGCCACCAGGGGATGGAGCTGTGCTGCCAGGCACACAGCCACGGGGAGAGAGGACGGCGTCAAGGCGCGCCAGGCGAGGCTGAGGTTGGACATTAGGAGGAATTTCTCCACAGAAAGGCTGACTGCACCTTGGCACGGGCTGCCCAGGGAGGTGTTTAAGTGTGAAAAATGTGTATTTTATGATTGGCTTTTCGCAAGTATTAAAATGAATATTGTATTATGTTAGAAAGTTATGCCACATTAATTTTCTTAAGTAGTGTATTAAATATAGTTTTAGGTTATAACATAATGTTAAAATAGAAACTGTGCTATGTAAAATATTTGTTTAAGAAAGGACTCGCACCAGATAGAAGCCACAGGACACCTAAATCTTTCAGAGAAAGGGAATTTTTTGCTCTCTTATCAGCAGAAAACTAACTTCTTCCCACCTCGCTCAGACAGGAAAATGGCATGAGGATTAAGAGGAAGAAGTTGACAGTGACCAGACAGAATCCTGTGTTTGAATGGAATTTATGCATCATGTGTGAGGTGTGTGAATATGCAACAGGCGATTGTTTTTAAGGGTTAATCCTCTGTTAACGGGTGTCCTTTTTCGGGCTTGTGTTGCCCAGAAAGAGGTACCCGGACGTCCGTATCTCTTTGTTTTTATTGTCTCGTATTGTCCTAATCTCAAATGTTCAAATTTCATTATTCTAATTATATTATTATTTTTATAACCATTTTATTACTATTAAACTTTTAAAATTTCAAAACCAAGTGACTGGCGCTTTTCACGTTAAGGAAAGACCGGGGCGGTGGTGTTTGGTTGGTGTAATTTACTGTATGACAATCAGGGGCGCTGTGTGCCGGCTGCTGGCCCCTCCAGGCGGGTTCAACACCACATCCCCTCACACAAAACCGGGTGCGGCTCCTTTAAGGCTTCCCCCGCCCTTCCCCGGCCGCGCTTCCCGGTCACGTGGGCGGGGGAGATGGTAGGCGCCGGGAGGGGGGGAGGTGGAAGGTACCACCACGGCACCCCAAAGGGGCGGGGCTCACGCGGGGCGTGGTCCCTGCTCAGGGGCGTGGCCTCAGCGCTCGATGGGCGTGGCTCCGTGTGGGCGTCGCTCCGCGAAGGGCGTGTGCATCTATGGGCGTGGCCTCCGCAAGAGGCGGGGCCGTGTAGGGGGCGTGGTTTCCTCGGGGGCGGGGCTCCGCTGAGGGCCGGAAGATGGCGCCGCCCAGGCGCGGCCGGGCCCGGCGGTGCCGGTGGCTCCCGGCCGGGGCTCCCCCGCCTTGAGGGACCTTCGGGGAGGGTGACCCGGCAGCTCCGGTGCCTCGGTGCCGGCGGAGATGGAGCAGCGCCTGGCTGAGCTGGTGGAGGAGCTCACCACCTCCGGGGAGCCGCAGCTGGAGCCCGGCAGGATGAAGGAGCTGAAGAAGATCTGCAAGTACGGCCGGAGGGAGGGACGGAGCCGGGCCCCGCTGTTGGCCCCGGGGCGGCTGTGGGGACTGGGTGCTGCCAGCACAGCAGCTGTTCACTTAAAATTGAAAATAAATTACGTGCCCAAGCTTACGCTTTTACGTGCGTCTTTTTAAATATCTCCCCCTCCCATTTCTTCGTTGTCTCCGTGCTCAGGGCGTCGGAGGAGCACATCAGGCACGCGTTCCACCTGCTGCTGACGCGGCTCCAGGAGGAGCACGCCGAGATGCGCCTCTCCGCCTTCCAGGTGGTGCAGGAGCTGTTCGCCAGGTCCCACCACTTCAGGACGCTGCTCATCTCCAACTTCCAGGGCTTCCTGGAGCTCACGGTGGGGATAGACCACGAGCAGCCGCTTCCCCCGCCCAGGGAGGTGGCGCAGAAGCTGAGGAGAGCGGCCATCCAGGCGGTGCAGGACTGGCACGAGAAATACGGGGAGGCCTACAAGCAGCTTTCCCTGGGATACCACTTCCTGAAGCAGAACAAGAAGGTACTCGGCGTTTTTTACTCCGCTCTGTGCCACTAGGTGATGATCACCCAGAGATGTTCAAAGTAAGGAAACCAATAAATGTGGAAAAAAAAAAAAAAGCTGTAGGGAACAACACTGCCTGTCGGAGACCTCCTGTTGAGCACGGCCTTTGAAAACAAACCCCAGGCTTTCTGTTCATCCTGCAGTGCTGTAGGTTTTAGAAACCCCAGTCTTGTACTCACAGCTGAGCTCTACCTTTGTTCAGGGTGAAAGCACTGCTCACCAGCTGGCTTTCACCCCCTGATTCCTGACTGGAGCCCCCAGGTTTAGCTCTTTTGGGAAGGGCAGTAATGGTCATGCATTAAACTGAGGATAGACAGCTGCTAAATCTTTCTATAGCCAGTTTAAACTAGCTTGATTTCTGTACTGAGCTGCCCAGTTCTAGATCCCCTTTGCTGTAACTTTGCAAGTGTATGTGCCTGCCACCCTCAGCTGCAGTGTTACTGTGCCAGAAAAGAGCTTTTATGAAAGAGAAATTTCATGTAAACCTTAGCTTTTTTATATAATTTCAAGTTACTGTGTTTGGAACGTTCTGCTGCTTTAGTCTGTCTTCTGAGGTGCAGCAGTGAAATCTGGAGCACTGTTCTAGCATTCACACTACCTACAATGATAAAAACAGGCTTTCAGTAAACACACTGATTTTCTTTCTCTTCACAAAGGCAGATCCAGATTCCTAACACAGATGAAAAGCTTTTGTGATCTGTAAAGTGTTTCTGTTGTTCTGGTTCCATAGTCAGCTAGTGGTGTTCCCCACTGAACTGTGCTGTGCTGGTTTTTCATACAGATTTTGGCATCTGCTCACAAAAGATGATTGTCCTTGAGTTACCCTTTCTTATCTTGTTTAAGAAAGGAAGAAAATGAAATGACAGTGATGAGGAGAAGTGCAAGACTGAGACAAGGGGGCTTTAACACCTAGTGCAGTTTCACCCAGTTGAACACAAGTGTACAACAGCTCAGCTGAAGTTTGGCAGCTCTGTCTGTGCTCCTGGGGTCAGTGGCTGCTCCCCAGTAACAATTGGGGGATCCCTCTCCAGGTTTTGAACAAGCTGTGCTGTTTTCTAGAGCAGCTGGATTTGAGCTCCTCTACAAACACTGCTGTCAATAGAAGCAATCTCAGGTAGTTTGATGTGAGCCAGCTGGCCTTTTGCCAGCTTAGTGCTTGAAGTGTGAGAAGCAACCAAAAGTTTTGAGGAGGCATTTGCTGCTTTTCTTGTAGTGAAACACATCACTGTTGAGTTTTACTGGTTTGGCACGGTAGTGTGGGGCAGCTTGGGTGGAGTGTTAGCTCTGTGTGTGGCCCACAGTTGGGTTTTAGTTGGATTTTTCTTAATGATCACCAAAATCACTTTATAAACAGTCAGAAGATGACAGCTGCTCTTTCAGAGTGTAAAGCTAGAGAGCTCCCCAGTCTGTTAATGTTAGTAGGTCAGTAGTAGTAGGTACCTCTATAAATGTTTGACTTCAAGAGCAAATAATGCTTCAGTATACATGAAAGTAATTGTTTACAAACTCCCATCTCAAAGTTTAAAAGAAGAAGAAAGACGAAAAATATTTCACCTATTTCCAAACATTTGCATTTTTGGGCACGTGACTCATCTTGTAGTACCTTTGTAGCTGAGGAAAGCATGGATGGCATTACAGAACAGGATTTCAAACACCTCCATGCAGATGTGTACTGCTGTATTCCAATACTTTCACAAAAGTTGCAGTAATTGTCTCACCCTGCTGCTTGGCATCCTCTCAGCTGAGCAGTTTTTTGCTCCTCAAACATTTAGTTCCATAATTGCAGACCAGCAATAAAAGGCTTCATGGTGCTTTTGGTACAGAGGATGGGAAAGAATGGGCAGATGGCTCCACTGTAGGTACTCTGGCATGAGGCAGAAGTTGTGCTTTAGGAGGCTGTAGCTGTGGTGGTTTTCTGTGCAGTCCAGTCTGACTGGGCACTTCCTGGGCTCTGTGTCTTTGTTCTGCTTTTGTGGGCAGTGTTGCTCTTTGGGTGGATCTGTTTCTCACAGCTCTGTGTGGGGAGCTGTGCAAACCTGTAGAAAAAATCAGGTCCTGAAAACAAAGAAAGCTCACTCTGGTGATCCACATGATGCAGTAGGCTGTGAAACCAGATCTTTTCCCTACCACCCTTCTGCCCACCCATTCCCTACTGAAAAAGCAGCTGGGTAAGTGTGCCTATTTCCTAAACTGATGGAGACCCTCCATGCCAGTTTCTTTGACAGCTGTTAGATAAAAACATTTGTGTGACTCCAAAACTTTGTTGTAGGCTGTTGAGAGCCACTAGTGGATGTTGACATGCTTGATCATCTGGGTGGTGGCAAGAATAACAAATCTTCAGTGAGTGCTTGTGATGGAGATGTTGCAAGAGAGTCTGTGGGCTGCAGAACCAGCAAAGTGCAGGTTTACTCAGCATTGTCTGTCTGGCAGTTCATAAAAGTTATGTGGTACCAATCAAAGGAAATTCTGTTTTTTTTCAAAAGGGTTTCCTTCTGCATTAATGCAGTCAAGCCTCCCTTCTTTAAAACATGAGTGAAATTATTTTTGTGTTTTCAATCCCTTCTAAGACCAAACTAAAAAAAAACCCAAATATTGCTAATATTTTAAGAAACTGTGTTTTGAGTAGTTCAGATTCATGTTTATAATTCAGCCATAAGGAAGTGAGACTGAATGGTTTTTTTCCCCTCAGTGTCAAAATCCAACAATGCAATTGTAAAATCACAAATTAAGTGTTTCTTAATAAATTTGAAGATGTTCTCTTTTACTTTCCTTTCTTATGAAGTTCTTTTGTAAGTTATATATAAATACACTAGTTCTTATAGCACTTACAAATTTTCCTAAATTTCCTGGTGGACATGGTGTGATGTTTTCATGTAATTTTAGTATCTCCCCTGCATAGTCTCTTCCTGCTCCTTCTCCTGACTCCTTGTCTTCAGCGCTGTGACAGAAGTCTCCCAAAGCCCCATTTGTTCTTGCACTCTGGATGTGAAAATCTAAGGGGTTTAAGGGGTTTGTTTTTCTACCTTATGATTTCCTTTTGAAAGCCATTGATTCTCAACAGCTCTTTATTAGTAGGAGTAAAAACTCCATTCACAATTGCTGCAGTTATTGATTCAAGGGGGAGAAGAGATAAAAGGAAAAGCTGCTGAGCTTCTGGCTGATGGCTGATGTTACAGGATTTTTCACCACAGATAAGGATCTTAGGAAATGGATTTTCTATATATTTCTTACGAGGAATGTTACACTTTTTTTTCTTAATTTCCTCCTTAGGTGGATTTTCAGGATGTGCATGCCAGAACTGTGGCTGAAAGGAGGAGGGAAGAGGAGAAGCAGAAACGACTGGAGAACATTTACAAAGAAAAAGTCAAAAGAACTGAAAAAGAAATGGAAGGTTGGTTGCTTTGCTTCTTTTAGTGCATTTTTGGTTTGGTTTTTTGTTTATTTTTGAAGCAACCTTTTTAAAGTGTATATAAAATAAATTCTGATAGAATAGCTATCCAGTTAATAGCTGACCACAGAAAGCAGAAATACTGCATTTGTTGGAGCTCAACCCTCCCTTTCTCTCACCTAAAGAATATCAGGGGAAAGAAGTGACTGTCATGTGAGTTCAGGAGGAAGAGATGGAAAAGAAAGAAAATGTTACCAAGTAAAGATCTGGTCTCTAATTCAGTAAAGTATGAGTGCATCACCCCAAGTGAACAAATCATGAGACTTTTTGGAGCTAGTGACTTAATTTCTGTTATGCACAGACTTCCCAATGCCTGTTTGGCCCATGGCATTACTTATGTTATATATATATATATACAGTCATTGTCTTCCAGAAATACAGGCAATGGGCTGCACAGGAATCCTGGATGCAGTGTAGCATAACTGTGAAAAGTGTCACAATGCAGCTAGAAAATGTAACTGGGGCCTGAATCTCTGAGCAATATGTGCATAGCAGACAGATTTCTGTCACCCCAAAGAACAACAGAGATAATAAGTACATTATGCTGCAGTTATAAAGGGTTATTTAATTAAATTACTTTGGTGTATGTAATGCATGCAATTGTCTGCATTTATTCTGCATGCTGGAAATGTTTTCATGCACTAGAGTGGAATTTTAAAGAGATTTAACTTTCTTAAAGTAATTTGTATTAGTAGCATCTCTTTGAGCAATAACATACATTCATGGCTATTCCTACATACAGCAATAAAATTCATGGCTGTAAAATTAATACCCACCAACATCACTAAGAATATCTCATTGAACCTTGTTTTCCTTCAAATTCTATGAAGCACTTGAGTCATCTTTACATAGTGAAATTTTAGAGAGGCTAAGGAAAGGAGGAGCCCTGATTCTACATGTCTGGCATGTAGATTCTGAAATTCTAGATTTGCTGCTTAGGGATTGTCACTTTTATAAGGACAGTTTCTGCAGAAGGGGAGGATCTGTATGGCTCAGTTGTCACTGGAGAAATGGGTTCCCCCTTTGGCAGTCCTGTTTGCTTTGTACCTCTGTGTCTGCTCTGGAGACATTAACATTTTACAGTATCTAACAACTTTATAAAACAATTGTGTCTTGATAGAAATGTCCCAGGAGATTGCTGATACACTGACAGAGATGGAAAACTGTTTCCAGCTGCTGATGCCAGATCCTTTCAATTTTGGGGTGAACGAGATTGACCCGGAGCTCAGCAAACAAACATCTGCTGATGAGGCCAGAGCTGCATCCCCCTTGTGCTCCCAGGGGGAAGTTAACCCATCCTCTTTGGGGTGCATGGATGACGAGCAGCCATGCTGCAGCAAGGACATTCTTCCTGTTCCTCAGTGTGAGAAGCCTGAGCAAGAAGAGCTGGATGGAGGCACACGCTCAGACATTCCATACAGTGGCCCTGCTCTCGATGATGATGATGATGATTACCAGAGTTTTGTTAGGAACCATGGGCTTATTTCACATAAATATACTCTAGACCTTGAAATCTCCACAGGTACCTGGAAAAACTTCTGATATGTAGCTGGGGGCAGCCTTTCTCTGAAGTGTTTTGTGCTTGTGGTTTTGGTTTTGTTTCTGTTACTTAAATGCTGGGGTTACTGGACAGCATTTTGCTTTGGGATTCCTGGACACCACTTTGATTTTTTTAAATTTTTTTTTTCTGTTTCTGGTTCCTCTAGTAACTCTTCTTAGTTTTGGGTGTTCTTGTGTCTGGCTAGCAGATTTCATTAATTACCTTCTAAGACTGAACGTTTGTAATAGTAGTTGCAAGCCAATTATAGCACGTCATTGTATCTATAATGAGTGTTTTGTGTTTAAAAACAATCTGTCTATCAAATACAATTTTATCTCTCTTTGCTGTTCACCTCTTCCTCTCTGTAGCTGGGGAATAAGCTGCTAGTTTAGAAATCTTACAATTGGGTGTTTCTGAAACTTTTTCCTTGCAAGAAAGTAAGTACTTTTGCTAGCAAGTGATTGCACAATTTTTGTATAACTTTGCTAGTGTGAGTTACCTGTAGAAAAATGAGGATGGTTTGTGTTTTGGAAATCTCTTAAAATTCCTGTCCTAAGGTAATTCCATGTGCAGACAGTAAGGGTGATATTTGCTTCTCTGTTTACTGTCAACAATGGGTGAAAAGTATAACTTTTACTTGGATAATGGCATACTTGACTTCTTTGGCAAGCAAGTCCCTGCTCTTACCAGGGTAGGGATTATTTTGTATTGAATATGAAGAAATTGGTACAGTAAGGCCCAGTTCATTTGAACTTGGGACAAGATGTAATGTAATATTGAGACTGAACCTGTCTGTGGTTTATTTTGTCATTCCTTAGTCATGATGGCTTAACAACTGTTTCTGGCATGTTGGATTGAACACTTCTCATATTTTCGTCAGATTTTTGGAGTGTGTGGAGAGTAATAGAATAATTGATACTGAGCAGAGAAGCTCAGTGTTTCTAACTCTCCCTGAAGTGATCAAATGTCTTGGAAAGAGTAATTTGCTTTCTTTAGCTCCTGTAGTGAAGATACCATAAATGTCATGCACTAACTCTTTTCCCCTGTTTTGAGCAGATATAAAAGTGCAAGAGAATGAAGATAATACTGCCATCATAAACAGTGTCATGGATGCTCACAAACTTCTCAGAAATAAGTTCTGGCCTTCTGTGCAGTCCTGGATTCAGGTGGGATAAAGAGAGAAATATTTTTGTTCATTTTTTAATAAAGAGATGGTGAAACAAGGACTGGGATACAGTAAAGCTTGAGGGAGAATGAACCAAAAGGAAATGAAGGTTGAAGAAAGAGGAACAATTAGAGAAGATCTCCATTTCAGTAAAGGTGGACTAAAGGAGACTGCAGGAGCTATGTAGCTTGTTGGGTAGCTCTCAGCCTTGGGTGTGGTACCTATAGGCAATTCTTTGTTTTGTTTTGTTTTGTTTTTAAAGATAGATAAACTTGGCTTCTTTGCAAAATCTTAAAGTAAAACACAGCTTGTTTTTGTTAGACAGCTCTCTATCAGGTTAGCAGTATATCATGGAGCCTCCTGAGAAGAATTTGGCCTATTGGAGGGCACTCTCAGAAGATGTTTATAATATCTGTTCATTTTTGGCTTCACTAGTTGCTGTTAGTTTTTATAGTCAGGATAGAAAATTAATTGGCTTCACTAATTGTCACTTGTACAGCAAAGGCATTTGTGATGTTGTTTCATTAATTATGAGGGAAAACTGGAATTTATTTTTTTTGGCTCAGACTTTAGAAGAGAATAAGGATGTTGTTTTCTTGGTTTGCAGCTGCTTACCAGAGCAGGAGTCAATGATGATCGGCTGAGACGTGCCATTGAACTCAAGAATAAAATGGAGACTGCTATGAAGAAATACAAGGAAATGGACATTTCCTTTAAAGCCAGAAAAGTGGTGAGTTTCTTAAAATTCTATTTTACTAGAGAGGACCATTAGTAAAGTTTAGCTGTATACAGAAAAATGCTCTTTCTCTTAAGCCCTGACCAGGGAAACTTTTCAACACAGATTTTATTGTAAAGTACATTAATTCAGCTGATTGTATCTTCCCTCAAGGAGCAGCAAACACCTGTATAATATTCCAAGGGCCTGGTTATTAGACCAAAACTGTTTAAGGCATCCCTGTTGTTGTTTAGGATAGAGAAGTGGGTAAGTGCAGATTTTATTTACTCTTAGTTCCTTTATGTGTAGCACTGTTAAATCCTCAGCTTGTTTTGTGCATATTTCTCAATAGACACTGTACTGCTCATGTTCTTTCACAATTTGCTAAACTCTGAGAGTCTCTCAGTTCAGGAAAGCAGTTTGTCTGCTTTGCAGCATTTACTCTGTACTAAGCGTGTAATGTGATTAAAGTAATCCCAGGAAAATTTGGAGCATCAAACTGTTTCACAGACATCAACTACCTGTGACAGCTCTTGTGAAATAGGTAGACTTTGTGGGTAAACAGAGGCTGAAAGATCAAATACATTGTTCAGGTCCAAAAAGGAGTTTATAGCCTGTTTACGTAGATAAAAAGCAGAGCTGCATGATACTAATTTCTATTGGCTGTGATAAAATGAAATAACTGCATAGCTTAACATAAAAATAAGTGCTTTGGGTCAGAGTCCAGACTAGAGTCTGGTTTGGATTTACTGGATTGTAAGAATTTGATCTGGACATAACACATTGAGCTAAATTGTGTAGCCTCATTTAGCCATGACTGAGTGTTGTAGACTTTGCCTTCATTGTACAAATGAAGCTAAATCAAGATTAATCTGGTTCATCATCTTAACACCTTCTGATGTGCCACACCAGTCACAAATGCCAACTCTGAATGAAAAGTACTGAAAGACTCTCTTGTCAGAGGCTTTTGTCTCCAGTGAAATATGTGTGCTACCTTTATGCAACCAGCTATGAAGGAATCCAGACATCTGCTGTCATTCCTGCCATTTGCTTGACAGGACTTCATTTGCTGCACCTCTGCATGGAATATTGGTAGCTATATTTCTTGTAAGATATAAAAGACATTCAGGCCTTGATTTTTGTGTGTGTGTGAACATGCATGTGTGTGTGTGTTTATAGTGGTATGGTTACCACTTAGGAGAGTGACCAGTGCTGTCTGTATGCTTGTATAACATGTTTAGAACTAATACCTATATTAGTTTGAAAGCTAATAAATTCCATTGTTAAAAGGACAAAAAGATAGGAAGCACATAGTGCTCACAATACTTTCAAAATGAAGCAATGCAGACTGAGTTAACTTAAGCATTGAAAACAAGATATAAATATTCCTAGAATTTCTCTCCAGTGGAAAATAGCCAAATTTAGTGTTAGTGCTGAGCTATTTTAAATTTATAACCTGAACACAGAGAGCTTTGTACAGCAGAAGGAAACTGCATAAATTATATTTTATTCACGTGTCAGATGACTTTATTGAAACATAAAAACATGGCAAATTGGGAGTCTAGTAGAACAAAATAAACAGAATCTCTTAGGCCATGGTTATTGAATCCCCATCTGTCAAATATTTACATGTCACCTTGTGAAACACTGCACACATCTCCTCAATTGAGCACTGCTGCCTGTTTTAGGTGTTGTGGCTTTGTCCAGGTGTCCTCTTGTCCTTGGAGCTCTTGCCATGCCGGTTTTGCTGTCTTCTGCCACTCTGAAGCCAGGAGGAATAGTGGTGAGAGGCTGTCTGTCCTGCACAGCCCTGGCTCCCAGGCACGCTGTCCTTGCAGAGCTGTACAGATGGGATTTGCTGGCACATGGACCTGCTCACGTGTGGAGATGGGCACACCTGGAGATGAAGGGAGTGTTCAGTGGGGAGAGAGGGAGAATGTGAATCAGTGGCTGAGTGCAGAGGGCCCCATGCAGATTGGTTTGTGGGTGGTTTGTGCCATCTCTATTTGGATAGGATGGCAGTTCTCTGAGGTAGCTGTATCCTTAACTGGAGAATGTAAAGGTGAATTGTTTGTGTACTTTCAGCTCATTTTAACTGTCATTATGATCCTGCACCACAGCAAGCCATTCTTTCAGGGACAGAGGGGTTTTATTTAATTAGCAAATATAAAACAGAGTGACAGGGACTTGGCAGCTTGGCTGGGGACTTGGCTTGCCCATTCTCCTGGGACTTTTTTGCCTTTTCTTCGTGCTCAATCTCCATGCTTCTGTGGTCACTGATTTTCCCCCTTTTCATCTGTTCTATTCTGTTTTATTTCTGTTCTATCTGGGAGCAGAGGGAGTAAAGGCTTTACCTATCCTCAAACTGAGATCAAGAAAATTGATAAAGGGAAGGGTTTATTGAGAGACGATGAAACTGGAGATTTATTACTGTGAACTCTACTATAACTCTCAATCTCATAGAGATTTAAATTGCCACTTTAAAGAAGGAGGGTCCTGGGGTGCCTTACAATGGCCATGTGTCATTGCTACTCTTTTTTAGCTGATTAGTTACACGTGGATATGGCTGAAATGCAAATAATTGTGTATATCTGCAGTAATTCTTGATGCTGCAGTTTAATATGAATATACCAGCAGTGTAGCTTGATGTAAATTACACTGAGAGCAAGAAATTGGTGGTTACCTGGCTTGATTTCACAGAAGAAATATTTGATTGGTTCATAAGGTGTGTGCTTTTGGCAATCCTTATTATTACATCCATGCTTTCCATTGTTTCTCATTTCATTTTCCATATCACAGAGCACAAGGCTCCAAGGCAGGCACCTTTGGCAGTCAGAGCCTGTTACACAATTAGCACAAGTTACTTTCTCTGAAGTTCTTTTTTGCCTTTATCTTTACTGAAAAATGGAGAAGTCAAACTGCTTTTCAAACCGCAGAACTTTCTGGAGGTTTAGGGAACTTCCCTTGTTCAAAGTCTCTTGAAGGAAACTTTGTACAGTGAGACACTTTGACTTAAAATGGTTTATAGTGACATGAGCTCTAACCACTTTTACTTTTCTCCTCCATGAGAGTGAAAAACACAAACCATCAGACAGTCTTAATTACAAGGAGGGCCATAATTTCTATGTGACACTTACACCCTGCCAGCACGAGCAGCCTGTGTATTGTGTTTGCCTCTCAGGAGCTGTGGGAGGAGAGGGAAAAGAAAAACAAAGCTTGTCCTTTAACTGCCTAAAAACAAATCCCTTGAAGCAGATTTTATAATTATTAATACATCCCAGTTGCCCACTCCACACATTCCCCATTCCCACTGCTATGCCCCCCATAGATCAGAAGTCAAGGCATTTTTTACTTTTTCAGATGGCTGGAGGGTGGGTGAAAAAAATCACAGACTACCTGTATTGGTCAAAGGCAAATGAGTTTTTGTGTGCTTACATGGGTTACATTCACTGTAGTTAAATCCTTGTTTGAGGTGTCAGGTTTCTGACAGGAAATGCATTTTGAGGGTATAAACATTTTGAGGGTTTTGAAATTAATTTTTCTGTGAATTTGGGTTTTGGCTGAATCCGGGTGAAGAGGGTGGGAGCTGTAAAAAGGCTTTTATCCCACAGTAGCAGGGTGCTCAGACAGGAACCTTTCTTCTCCGAGTGCCTGCTCGGGATAATTCCAGTGCCCAGTAGAGGGAGTGCAAACTGCACGCTCCACATTTTTCTCTGTGCCACCTTGATCCAGAGCCAGGCATCTGCTCAGTCTGTGTTTTCAGGTAAACTGACTATAACAGCAACACCAGAGACATTTCAAGCTAATTCCTGACTCCATGAATTATTGTAAAAGTACAGTTGTAATTATTGGCTTTGATTGATGTTTAAATGGACAGTACTGTTTCCAGACTTTCAGTTCTTTTGCAGGAATAACTTACGATCAAATTGTTCTTAATTTTTTTTAGATTTGTTTCTCAATGTCTTCTTCCTTTTCTTATAATACTGGATTTAATTTTTTTTTCTTGTTTATTTTCTGATTTGCTGTTTCTCAATGTTTTCTTCCTTTTCTTATAATACTGGATTTAATTTTTTTTTATTGTTTATTTGCTGCTGATTAGATGCAAATGATCTTGCAATTTTAGAGAGGACAAGCATGTTCTGTATTATAAATCATGCACACTACCTTTCACTTACATCCTTTTCATAAAGACTTACCCATTAGAATAATACTTGAAATGCTGACGTTGTTAATAGAAATGTAGCTCATTAGCTGGATTTTGTACACTCAAAGTATGCTTATGTCTTATGTAATTACCTTGGGAAGCTGTGGAAGGTTTAGTACAGAGGCTGGCTAAAACTTGGGCACACACAACCCAGGAGGAAAGATGATGTGAGAAACATCCCATTCATGTGTGTCAGCAGAGGGATCATTTAACAGACCTGTTACACTTTGAATTTTAAATTTCAAATTACGTTAACAACCAGGGATATATAGTTTTTCATTAACTGTATTCATTACTTTTTGTTTCACCTTTCCTTATCTTCTGTCAAATCTAAGCATGTGCCTGGATCTTGATTTATTCGTGTACTTAATTTTATCCATGTGAAACATCTGGTTGAACTCAATAATGCCATTAATAATTAGATTTGGAGGAGCCTGTCCTTGTGTTGTCCAGAACCTGATACTCAAACCTCACTATAATATAAGTAAGATGTTTTCAGGAAGATTAATATCAGAAAATTGTTACAAATTTACAATTTAAATATTTGCTGCTAATTATTTAGTCCTAAAATACATTAAAAGGTTTAAATTTTAATATGTTATAAATTAAGCCAAGAGTTCTGCCAATTACTTTGTTACAACACTTGCTGCCTTTTTTTCCCCCATGTCCTCAACTACAGTTTGGCATTTTAGCAATTCTAATGAGTTATTTCTACCTAATAATTTTGTAGCTTTAAAACAGCTCTTTTCAAGTCTGTCTTTTTGTTAAGTTAGTGCCTGCTTTAGGAAAGAAAAAAAAAGAGCTGCACTTG